ACCTGTTCTTGTGCATAATAATGTCAGCTATTTTTCTACATGTGTTGTTTTCCATTGCTGATGTAATTTGACATCTGTCATCATGCATGATGTCATTGCATTCCTGTCATGTCAATTATTTACTTTTTCAGTCTCTCAGTGTTGTCTGCTCATCAGTATAACCAGGGCTGGTTTATGAACCGGACCAGCGAGGCCAGTGTCCAGGGGCCTTGAACTGCCAGGAACCTCCAAAGCTTCAAACCACAGACAAACTGAACACCAAGGTCCTCAAATCCAGGCCAAGGCTGAAAGTATCGATAATAAGTAGTTTAGGCTTCTTAAAATCGACTATTTTACCTATTATTAATCTGTTTTTATGAGAGTTTTGTGTTAACAGCAAAGTCCACTGAAATCAATTCTAATGTAGTTGCTGGTAACGTAGAGCGTTCTAAATCGGTCACTGTTGAGGATCCTTGTTAGGATGCTGCCTTAGAAGACAGCTTGCTGTCTTGCATGTTTCAGAACAAGTCCACACAATGCTTATATCTAGTTTATATGATGATTCGATGGCCCTTGATGGACATATTCTGTTGAAACAGGACACAGTACTGGTGCTATAAATGGACCCTAAACAATCCTGTGCTGTTGCCCTGCGACCTCTAGTTAAACATTATGAGATAAGTGTTAGTTCAGTATGATTTATTACAGGGAGGGTGTAACTGGATGTCTAACACACATGTGCTAACGACTCACAGTAAAGATTAACTGAGAAACAAATCATCTAAAGACAAACACAGCCCGTTATTAAAGACGTCAAGAGCACTCTGCTCGATATACAGGCTGTACTGATGCTGATTTTCTGCTCTACTGGCTCCACTGCACTTCTGCTTAGTTTATGTTTTGGGCTGTAAGTTCACTCTTCTAGCATCTGAAGAAGGAAGAGGAGATCTTCAAGTGCTCTCAGCTGAATCCAGTAGAAGAATGAAGAGATTCGGACAAGTCGGACCTGACAGGCCTGATAACCTTGAGCTTGAACTGACTGATGGAATCTCTAGTCAGGTGAGGAAACAGCCTTCAGTCTTTGCTTTGAATCTGCTATATTATTTCCTGAACTGTTCAGTGTTCAAAAAATAAATAAGAAATTCTGTGAAGTTTACAGTAAAGCACCAAGAGCTGTGCCTGACAGTTCTTCATCGTAAAAAAAAATATGGTAGCAGCATTTAAGGTTTTAAGGAATGAACGGTTATTAACAGTAAAAATTGATATTTAATTAATTGATATGTTCATATCAATAATAATTAATGTACATAACTGATAACAAAACAAAAAAAGAAGAAACTATTATTGCATGAAAAAAAACATCAATGTGAGCTATTAACCACTTACCGTTAACCAATTACTTTGTTTTTACCATAATATATTTTGCAGATGTTTGCCATTAAAATTACAGAGATTATTTTTACAGTGATAATTCACATTTTAAACTATTGTGTCATTTGGTGATGTTTTTACTATTTTGTATGCATGGCTGAAGTCAGTGCAGCCAATCTTTGCTTCCCCAGTATCTGTGACAACAGTTAAAGATGTGGGGAGGTCAGTCGCTCACCTGGCGTCCTATGCAAGAGGCCGCTGGAAACATGCTGCCCGCAAGTCTGTAAGGAAGAAACCCAAAGGTATTTATAATAAATGCTTATTATGTGCCCTTCAAAATTCCATGGCAATAAACTATTTACCTGCTTTGTAAAATGTGATTTTGAAGATGGTTGTGAAAATGTACTCCATATTCCATAAAAAAT